TAATAATGATAAAATATCATAGTTTTAATTAAATGTTATAAATATTAGATTAAGTTTTATATCTTATATTAGAAAAGTAAGTTGATATAGAAAAGAATTATTTGAGTACACTTTTATTTTAATTATATGTTTAAAATATACAAGTTATAAAAGGTGCTCTCTTGAATCTTTTCTGACTTAAGCCAAAATTTACGTCATTATTATTAATAATATTTTTTAATAATTATATGCGTTAGTTTAAAAACAATAATCATAGTGATTATTAGGATTGAGAATAAGTTAAAAAAGAAATAACATCTTTTAACTTGTTATTCTAAAGTTTTTCTCCAAAAGCAAAAGTTCAAAAATTTAAAATAGTAAGATTAGTAACAAAATATGTTTTAGCTAAAACTTATTATAATTGCTAAAGTTAAGATTCTAATATTTCTATATAGATATTAAAAAAATATTACAAAATTATTTGTTTAGATCTATTTTATTATAGACCTATATTTAAAATGTGCAAATCGTAAAAGCTTGTCATTTTAACTCTTTTACTTACATTAAATTTTAAATAACAATAAAATATTACATATTGAAATTAAGTTAAGACTCTTGTGATAACATCTAAAAATAGAGAATGAGTTAATTGGATATAATATTCTTTTAATTCAGAGAGTTTAGAATGAAAGTTGTGACAATTTATGATTTTAATATCTTTAAAGAAAAATGAAATAATAATAAAATATTAAAAAAATTAAGTTTTCATCAAATTAAGATAAATCATAATAATGTAAAAATATAAAATGGATTAATTGAATATGACATCTTTTAATCATGTAGCCAAAGGAGGCATTTTGGGACAATTTCTTGTTCTATTCTATAAGTGTTTCTTTAAATTAATAGCATATTTTACAAGGCATTCTAGAAGATTATATATGGAAATAACTTATATCATTTCATTTTTACTATACTATTGCTGTGCTTTGTAGTTAATCTTTGGATGCAAAAATTGGCTAATTGTAGATTCTCTTTTCACATTGCACACTAAGAAACTAATTAACTATTTCAAGAATTGGTGTCAAGTTATATTGCTTATTGAATTTCTTTTATATTGTATATTTCCCAATATTTTATACTCTAACCAGTGGCGGATCTTGACCATTGATCTTGGGGGGGCCAAATAATATATTATTAATAAATAACAAATAAATATAAAAGGAAGAAAGAAGATGAAAGGGTAAAAGGATAACATTGTAAATATATACGTAAATATATTAAATGATCATTAAGTTAGAGAGAGACAAAATCATAAATGATATGAGAGTTACAAAACTGAGGAGGGGCTGAGAGGATAAGATGGTAAATATACAAGTAAATATATTAAATGTTAATTAAGTTTGGGGGGGCCAAAATCATAAATTACATGGGAGTTACAAAACTTTGGGGGGGCCACTGCCCCCCTCAGCTCCCAAGAAGATCCGCCACTGACTCTAACATACCTCTTATCACATGTTATATTTTAGTAGGCAACAGATGGTTTGTTGCAGTCGTAATCACTTATGTGGTGGACATCATCTATCAACTTTATTGAGATTTTATTAACGGGGGATTTCTTAACCCAATTCCATAATTAATCCATGGCTTAGAGAAAATCTAATTCTAATGAATAAAAGCATATACTATGTCAATTGTAAACTTTTATACATCCTGGTCTAAATTTTACAATCATAATTTTTTTTTATATAACAAAGTGATTTGTTATTTGGATTTTAAGTGGAATGGCAAAATAGTTTGTCGATTCTATTTTGGTCTGTTTGTTTCTAATATGTAAAAAATGGGGTGAAACAGCTTAACTATCATAGTTAAAACAACATATTATAGATATCAGTCTATTTTAGCAAAGGACGAGCTAATAAGTCAATCCGTTAATAATTTTTTTATATAAAATTTATTTATATGCTTTTTTAAATATAATTTTAATTATATGAATAATTTTTAAGTTTTTATTTTTATTTATTAGATAACTTGAAAAAATTAGTATATTTATGTATTAAAATAAATAATTATAATTAATAATTTAAAATTAATTGATTAATTTTTATAATTTAAATTATAATATTATAACATATTTACATATTTCAATAAAATAACACAAAAATATAATATTTTTAATTATAATCCTTTTTATTTTTATTATATATATATATATATATTTTTTTTTTAAAGCGGGTCATTGAGCTAGCTTGCCTCGTTAATCTGATTTACGGGTTAGGTGAGATAAGAGAAAATGGATGGCTTAAAACTATCAACCGTCCCATCATTTTTAAAATGAAAGTTTATTTCGTTTTCTCATATCAAATTTTAAGTCTTGAATATTGTCTTGAAAGACATGATGAACACTATCATGTACTTCAAAATAGGATATGTTCAATCACGACCACCATATTTCCTCTTAGTTGCACTTGAGGTTACTTGAAGAGAACATTAAAATTTCTATTGGTATATTTTACCATATATATAGTTAATCATCATTGTATTTAGTGATATGAAATCAATATAAAATCACTAGGTTTCATCTTTATTTTTTACTAATGAAATGCGTGAGGATAATGTGTTGATGCTAGGCATAATGATACCTTCTTATAACATGTCCTTAATGATAGCGATGATGGTTTCTGTTCTTACAAGGTCGAGAGTCTTGCATAAGACCAATCTTCACTAGTGCGTTCTAACTCCAGCTTGAAGCTGGTTCCAAGTTGCTGGACTCACAATAGTCGACGTGCTCAAGCCTCCGAGTTCGAGGTGTGGTTGATATACCTGCAAAAGACACTCTGACGCCTAAGTCAATAATATTATATAATTACTACTAATGTTCTTTTACTTACTTTTTAATTATGACTCACATGTCTAATTTATACTATCACATTTTGGCCTTGTTAATGGGCTTCAATTCTTAGACATTGCCTAGGTGTTCCTAGTCGTTACTCTAGTGAGAAAGTCTAATCGTGAGACTACAATCGACATGTTTGTTATGGCCAAGTGGCTATATAAGTGAGTACACATGATTATAGTTGTGAGGCTATATTAGGCGTGTCTGTCAATGCCTTAGGACCATATGAGTATAGCATACGTGTACATAACCGTGAAACTAAAATAGGCGTGCCTGTTATGACTTTAGGGTCGTATGAACATAGTACATATGATCATTGTGTCTTGCTGATTGTGTAAGTATGATACAATTTCTTTCTAAAAATGAGGGTAATAGTAAGGGTGAACGTTTGTAAGGCTAGTATTAGGAAGAAAGTTAATATAATGGTCATAGGTACAAGGTAGCAATGCTTTGCAAAGGTATTGACATGTATTGTGATAATAGATTAAACAAATAGGGAAAGGGTTGGAAAAATATGATCATTAAGTAAGAGATTTTCAAATTTTATTGTGGTAGAAGACGGTGATGTGGTAAGAATAGGTTGAGAAAATATAAAAAGATGAATGATGCTATAGTATTGTGAATTGCCATAATTAATGAAAGGATGTAGATAAAAGTATTGTTTGAGGTCACTTATATTAAGATTTTCATAATCAAAATTTTAAGTATATTATTCAATCCTTATAAAATTGCAATTTTGATGTTGTAGCAAATAGGAGAGATCTTGTTTTATATAAATATAATATGTTATTATATAATATTATCGTAAAAAAATATAATAATTTTTTTCTTAAAATATTTTAAAATATAAAATATGATTAATATATTTGAATAATAAATTAAATTAATATACATTAATTTAATATAACTATTTAATAATAAATTATCATAACCATAATTAAATCTTACAATAATATAAACAATTATATTATTAATAACTATTAATTAATTAATGATAAATTTTTTATAATAATAATAATAATAATAATAATTTTATTTAAAAAATTATGTATTCGCTAAACTTATTTTATTCCTATTCACCCAATTTTCATACCTATCTCTCATGCGGGCAAAAAAAAAAATAAAATTGGAATGAAAACATACAATTTTTTGTTTGTTTGAAAGAGTAAATGTGTAATTAAAAACAAGTAAAATTGTGGCAATATTATTTTAATAAATATACATATAATGTGATATGTTTTAAATTTTGAAATAAGAATTTAATATTTATAGCTTAGGTCAATATTTTCACGTTATCAACTATTTGCAAATTATATTATGCCCTTAACTAATTAAAGATTATTTTCTTCATTTCTATATATAAGATGTAATTACCTAATTTTACAATAAAAAGATTATTTCTATTCATTTTTATAACAATATATTCTTTTAATTCTTTAACTAGTTTCAAACAGAGTTAACATTTTTTTTTCTGTGGTTTATATACTTTTTATTTTAAAAACTATATTATCATTAATATTTTTCTTCTAAATTTTTGTTTGTATAGTCTAAGGATAATTAATACAGAATTATGAATTGATCTTATAAAAATGAAATATTATTTTTAATTTAAATCTTATAAATAAAAACAAAGGAAAGATCTTATATATGACTTTTAGATGAATTATTATAAAAATACACAATTAGAATAATAACAAGGTAATTTTTTATACTATTAATTTATTCTAAATAATTTCTTCAGACAAACAGAGAAACACAAAGTAATTTTTTTCAATAATAAATAAATAAAGCGAATAAACATGTCAAATAGTAAATACTTTTATTTCTTTTAGTAGGAAAATTATACCAAATAATACATTTATTAAAGTATAATAAAAGGCTATTATTTTCCTCACCACTAAATAACAATTAATTAATAACACAAAAATATAAATATATGACAACAAGTCTTATCACAGTAAAAAAAAAACTTAGTAAAATTCAATTAAAAATGATTAAAATATATCTGAACTGAAGCTACGTGTAAAAGCTTAAAAACCCAAGCGGAGTTCATTTCCCTGATCCGAACCTCATCGCTGAACGCAGAAAGGTGAAAAGAGAATTAGGGTTTGGGAAGCTGCGAGCGATAATGGATTACACAGCGGAGAAGAAGGAATCAGAAAACAACAACGCCAACAACCCGGAAAACGCTCATCAAACGTTAGATTCTTCTGCTCAATTGGCGTCGGCACTTGATTCCAACAGCAAAGAAACTGAAGAACGACAAACTCGTGAACTCAAAGCTGGTCTTCACCCTCTGAAGGTTTCTCTCCCTCACTTTCATTTTAGTTTTTTAATCGTCCTAACGCTATCGAATTCTTATTATTGGTATTTTTCTCCTAGTAGCATTTAACTTAGGTGCAGTTGCGGTGTTTTTCTCCTAGTAGAATGAGTTTCACCTTGATAATCTATTGTTAGATTTGTATATTTTTATTATGCGGACTATTAAGGTGAAACTTCAATTTTGAGTAGAGAAGAAGATCAATTGTATATGGAGAACTGCATCTAAGTTTTTTCTGTTATTATGTGATTGTTCCTTAAACTAGGTTAATTTTGACCCTGAGCATGGTCTATGATTTTTTATTTGGGACGAAGTGGTTTGCAATTATAAGTTTGGTGATGGATTGATTTCTAGGATTGTTTTTTTTTTTCTCGATTTTTCGGGTTGTATCGGTGATTTAAGGGCTTAACCGAGTTTTGCCGAAGAATAGGTTAACGAAATTAAAATTCTGGATTGATTTTTGTTGGTTTTGTGTAAGGGGAGATGCTTTGATTTATCAGTATGTGTCTCGGATCTTTGAAGGATCTCTCAATTTGACGTTTTGAGTGCTCTAAATGTGGAAGAGTTGATTGTATGCTGTTTTGGGTGCTTCTTCTTTGAAGCAGATATATAGGAGATGGTTATGCACTGCCAATTGGATTCAGGGTCTTGATTTTCATGCTTGATTATCAGTCGTTATGTTTGTTTCGCCTTATTGTATGTTTGTTTGGTTGGTGATATCGTTTTTGTTTGCTGTGATTTCAATGAGCAGCACAAATTTGTCTTTTGGTACACTCGGCGAACACCTGGAGTTCGAAATCAATCATCATATGAGGACAACATAAAGAAAATTGTTGAATTTAGTACGGTGAGGTCTTTGCTTTGTTTAAAGTTGTAGTTGGTTATTAGTTCATACTTCATTACAAATTTCCTTACTTTTGTGATTCGGTGATTGTATATTAGGTTGAAGGATTTTGGGTCTGTTATTGCCATCTTGCTCGTCCTGCTTCTTTGCCTAGTCCAACAGATCTGCACCTTTTCAAGGAAGGAATCCGTCCTTTATGGGAGGTATATACTTAAAAGTTGTAGCTGAAATTGCATTTCTTGCTGATTGAGAATTTATAAGCTGTTCAATTTTTTTGAGGGGGTAGGGAAGGGAAAGAAGAGGTAGGTGTGTCTTAGATATCTTTTAATTTTCACTGACTACATTTTTTTCTCCTGAAGGACTCTGCAAACTGCAATGGTGGTAAATGGATTATACGATTCAAAAAGGTTGTCTCAGGTCGTTTTTGGGAGGACCTGGTAAGTGAAAACATATTCATCTGTAATATTTGGCTTCTTGATAAATATCTGCCATGATTGTGGAAAATGATAACACTTTAATGTATTGAGTGACTATTTAAATTTGTTCTTGAATCAAATAGTTACACTGAAAATTTGATTTTTGATAGATCCTAATGGCATGGTTGATACATGTAGTTGATCCCACCCAGTAGTATAACTCTTGGTTGTGGTTGTTGATATCTAAACTTTTTATTGAAATTAGAAGGGTGTTAGTAACACTCTAAAACACTCGTTTTAACACATTTGAATAAAATTTATTGAAAACTACTAAAGTATGGGTGAGACTCATTAAATAAGAAGTGAGACCTACCAAAATTTGTCAGTTCCTATAAATAGAGTGTCTATTGCTAGCATTTCTCTTAAAATTATACAATATTCAAGTCATTGAAATGGTTTATGGGCTTCAAATGTTTTGTTGTTGATGTTCACCTCTTAAACTGAAAATAGAAACCTAGATTTGATTCCAATTTATAATTTAAAAATTTGTCTCTTTGTAAAGCATGTTTTCCACAGGGTTTATTTTATTTTTTTTAAAAGCCTGACTAATGAAAATGGATAAAAAACTTTATTTTTTCTAAGTTTTTCAGAGTGAATTCTTCTAGAGTTCTTGCAGCTGCAGCTGTGGGGGTGAGACCAGTATGAACTACATATTGTATCCACTGGACTTGTATTTCTTGTGGGGAAGATTTGATATAGTGAATCTAGTTTTATAACCAATTTCTGGTGTTCAATGTGCCTGCTGTTTCTTTGCACATTAATATAAACAGTAGGTAATGAAACCTTTAAAAATGATATGCCCTTTATTTGGTTTACATATTATTTTATTTATCTGAGGTCTTACACTTTTGTAAGTTTTAACGGTGACAAACTATTGACGAGATAAATTACCATTTTGAATCTCTTGTGAAATTGATTTCATGATCTATGCCATCGATACAATTATATTTCTCTTCGAGACTTAATTTTTATTTGTATTACGTGTCTAAGTGCAGGTTCTTGCCTTAGTGGGTGACCAATTGGATTATGGGGATAACATATGTGGTGCGGTACTAAGCATTCGTTTCAATGAGGATATATTGAGTGTCTGGAACCGCAATGCTTCAGACCATCAGGTTGGCATTTTAACTGAGCCTATTTGTATACACATATGTATGTTCATGCATGTCTTCAGTATTGTTCCTGCTTTCTCGTTACAGGCTGTAATGGCCCTGAGAGATTCAATCAAACGTCACTTGAAGCTTCCTCACAACTATGTTATGGAGTACAAACCCCATGACGCGTCTCTGCGAGACAATTCATCCTACAGGAACACTTGGTTGAGAGGCTAGATGTACAACCGTGTTCTCGCCGGAGTCCTTGTAGTGGAAGCTATATTGCATACTGTTTCAGCTTCCACTCAGCCAGTTAAATCGTTGACAACAGTCAATGGTGGTGCTTGGTGTTCCAGGCCTGGTTTCTGTCTTTTGAATTCAATGTACGACAGAGCAACATTGCTACTGCTTTAATAGAGTTTCATTTGGTTACTTGGGGTTAACTCTAATTCTGTGTAATGTGTCTCCTAGTTTCTGTAAATAAACTTGCTTGTGCTGTTACTTTTCACCTCGCATATGAGAGAATCATAGCCGCTCTTCCATATGATACATGATAGATTATTCTTGTTGTGCATTTTTACATAAAGGCATTAATCCTTTAAACTGAACAAGTATACTGGGGCTACTACCATCTCCATTAGAACTGTTGCGCATAACATCTCAATCCTACACACTTTAGACGGTGATACACTGAATTGGTTTCTGAAATCCTACACTTTAAAAGAATACGAAGGAATAGTATGATTATAAGATATTCCGAAAAGGGTTGTGTAATTAATATTTCGCAGTTTAGATTGTTGTTAAACTTATCGTGTAAACATTTAAAAGATTTGAAGGAGTTTTACTGAGTTATGAAGTTCGAAAGTATTTTATGTTTTTTTTACAATACTTAATGTCATTAGAATAAAAAAAAAAGAAAATAAGAATCACCCAAAAAAAGAAAATGACAAAGTTTGGATAAAAAAGTAAAATTAATATACTTATTCGATTTTTAAATGGTTAAGAGACTTTAACTATGTTTTAAGAAATAGATCAATAGATAAATTAGTTTAGTGTCTTGACTCTTTAAATTATGGATTCAACTGGTTTGAAAATCTGTGAAATGGTTAAAACTGATAAAAAATCAGTTCACAAAGTAAATATTAAAAACAAAAATTCTTAATAAAATATTATCTTTTAAAATATAGATTATTTATCATTTTCTTTTTTAGTTGAAAATATTGTTGTATATATTGAATCTTAAACTTCAAATATTTTTCATATGTTTAAAGTTTATAAAATATGTTATTTTTAGTTTTTAGCGTCATTAAATTATTAAATTATGATGTTATATTTCTCTAATGTTATTTTATATTATTATTATTATTATTAACAATAATAATAATAATAATAAAATAAAAATATAAGTTTAACCATCATTTAGTGATTACTATAATTTTCAAAAAGTAGAGTTTTAGTTTTAGGTTATATTATTAGGTAACAATTTTCAGGTATGTAAGTTATAATAGTCATTTACGCATTAATTTTATTTTCTCAGTCTTATTCTTGAATTTCAATAATATATTTTTTTCATTCTTTCTTTTGAGTTTCAATAATAGATTTCAAACTATTTGATATATAAATAATATTAAATATGAAAATACTTATAATGCTTTAATTAAAGAAAAATATTATTAAACGGGTTTAATATTTATATATTTAATGAAAAATAAAGTCTATCTTAAAAAATAATTTATTAAACTTATTTAGTTTTTAATAATATTATTTAACAAAATTATAGAAAATCCTACTTTGATGTAAATTTGTATATTATTTAAATTTTAGCACAAGATTTTTTTATTTATCAATTTTTTAAACATTTGAAATCCTTAAATATTTTTATATAGATTGAATAAACTTCGTTAGACTTATTCACCTATACTTGACAATGTATTCCTTCTAGTTTAGGAATGATTCTTCCTTTACGAGATATCTTATGATGAAGAAAAGAGGTTAATGTGCATATAAGAAATATTTTGATGGTCAATCAATAGATTACGACGGATGTCATAAATATATAATAAGGAATAATGTATACTTGAGATTTTTACCCATTTATAATATTTTAATGGGTATGTAACTTGTGGACCAAGAACATTTATCCAAGTTTGATTATATTGATTAGAGTAATTAGGTTGATTATTTATCTTAACCATCTTTGTAAGTGTTGCTTAAGGTTTTTAGGAAGGACGTGTTGGTATACCAAGAGGTTCTCGATATGCCTATGATATACACTAGGTCCCCTAGGTTTGAGGAGATGTGAAATAACAAAGAGTTTTGAAGAAAAAAATTTTCACTTTCTTTGATCGATATGTTCTCGACGTCTTATTCATATATTATATTGATTACCAAGTCCAAGGTTATGTGAGACGAAGAACAATTTTTGAAGAATGAAAACTATACTTTATAATAGTTAGATTAAGAAGATTTGAAAGTTTGCCAGAAGAAAATGCCAATACAATTTGTCCTTTTGATCTCAATGTTATAGACAAAGCCTTCCTGTATAGGTTTTCCTTGTTCTCCCTTAACCATAAAAATAAAAATAGACACTAATCTTTTGAATTGAATCATTTAATTATTTGGTTGATTTGCAACTTGATCATCATGTAATTAAGATTTTGTAAATAAATAATTTATTATAAAATTAAATTGAGCAATTAAACTTAAATTCATAAATACAAGTTTAACATGCCTTAAAATAGTAATTACCATCTTTTCACATTAAAAAAAAAATATAGACATACTCCGATCTAGGTTGTCACACCCACTTGACACCCATTTAAATAATATATTTTTTACTTTAACTACTTTAATGACATGGATTTAAATAAATAAAATATGTTAAAAATTTAAAGTTTAATGTTTAGTAAGAGACAAAAGAAACCCACACACCTACCCAATCACACACATCATTAAGAGGGGAAGAAGAGAGGAAGAATAAAAGTCTCCAGTAGTAGGAATTGAAATGTAAAACAAAGGTAAGAAGAGAGAAAGAAGATACAGAGAAGTGTGATACTAGAAGTTTATGGTTTAGAGAAAAGGAAGAGACTAGGAATGGTGTGGCACACGAAAGGAAAGATGAATGAGGTGAATTTTGATTTTTCTTTGAATTGGGTTTTTTAATTTTTCGAACTTGTATGTGTGCTTGATTTTGATTATAATTGCGTTATTGATTATCCATATACATTGTAAATCCTTGTTTGCATATTTGTGAAAATGCTAACATTGTCCTTTTGTATATAAGAGTTGTTTGTATAATGTAATTCTACGATGAATGTATGCTGATAATTTATTAAAGTTTTAGTAATTTACACATTCTAAATAGTTTAAGAGACATGTTAGAGATTTCACTAACTAAAGTTAACTTATGTCTCATGTCTCACAAAGACTACCTATGTATCAAGATAATAAATAGAGATGCAAACATGTAAAATAAAGAGAAAAGTTAAGAATGGAACATTTTGTATGCACAAAAGCCGCAAAAATCACTTTTAAAAATCTTCTAAGAGAAAATTTTTCACCTTGGGAAACTTATTTTCTTGTATATAAGACATTGTTTCATATCCTTTCCTTAAAAGTATATTACATGTAATTTCAACCAAACTTCGATTTATAACACCTGAAAAAGATTTGTGTATTCAAAGAGTTAGGAGTAACTTGATGAAAGAGAATACTTATTGAAGTAAGAGTGGTTATGTCTACTTGTTGTTTTAAGATTAACCTAATATAATTTTTCTTCTTTAATTTAGGAGAGTTAAAAAGTTATTAGGATGTGACATTGTATATTCATTGTAAGATAGAGATAACAATAAATAATACTTGATTGTATTCCGTTAGTTATAGTAAAACCTTCAAACAGTATGAAAGTTGATTATAAATAGTTTTATTGATTATAAAACATTTTAAAAAGTATGTTTGGAGTGTTAGACACACTTTGTGTCATCTAATCAAACTTATTATTAGATGACATGTTTGGATTGTCTAATAGTCCATTACAAAATATTTTTAGTTTTATTAAGCATGTCTCTTCTATATCTAACATGTAATTTCACTCATTATTATTAAGTGTGTTTTTATTGTAAGAAAAAATGATAAAAAATAAATCTTGATTATAATTTATTGATTATAATGAATCCATCCAATAATTTGTTAAATAAGAACTAGACATACCTCAAATTAAGTGAACCGTATAAAAATCAAATATTTTATTAATTTTCTCTTTTATCATATCACTTTTTGAATACTTATTTAAAAAATTAATTTGTTTATAAAAAATTATGAATTGAAACATTTGATTCGTCATTTGAATTAGATAATGCATTTAATTAGTCATGACCATCTAGATGAATGACATATTTATCTTATATATTATCTATGAAAAAATTTATTTAAATCTATGTCTTCCTAGAATTAATATATAATTTTAATATATTATATGATATTTTTAATGACATTGATGTATCATATAATGAGATTATGATTATTAGAATATGGTGTAAACTAAAACACTATAATTAAATAGAAATAAGATGAACCAACATTCACAAGTTTGATGATTGTAGATTGAAATGTAAATGGAAGAGATAATTAACTAAAAATGGTAAGTCAGATTGATCGATGGAGTGATCAATAAAATGGTAGATGTTTGTTACAAATAATGGTTACAACTGGACGTCAAAGTCAAATGGAAGAAAATTATGAGAAGTTGAGAAACCAAACCTACGGAACTAACTTGGATTCTTCCAACATGCTTTCTCAGCAATTGACACACCTATTTTATACTAACGTGACGTATCGTCTTACGGATTTGTGCACCAATTTTGAGCGTTTTGACACGAAATATCTTTCCCCAACTTCCTTTTTTTTCTTGGCCTACAAGAACCAAAATCAGTTTTGAAATAGAAGTGATCAAGTCCTTCACAAATTGCATTTTTCTACATTGAATAATGTCTATAAACAGTGGCGGATCTTCTTGGGAGCTGAGAGGGGCCGTGACCCCCCCAAAGTTTTGTAACTCCAATGTAATTAATGATTTTACTTCTGAAACATAATTAGTATTTAATATATTTACTTGTATATTTACAATTTTATCCTCTCGACTCTTCTCAGTTTGTAACTTTCATATAATTTATGATTTTATTTCACTCAAACTTAATGATAATTTAATATATTTAAGTATATATCTACAATTTTATCTTTTAAACCTTTCATATTCTTTCTTCCTTTTATATTTATTTATTATTTATTAATAATATATTATTTGACCCCTCATTATCCGCCACTGTCTATAAAAGGATACTGCGTTACTTCTTAGATCAAGGATATTCCCTGTAATAATATTACTATTTATGTAATTCTCGTAATATAATTTTATTTTACTTTTATCAATTTATTTAATTATTTATATATATATCATTGACGTGGTCCTTCTTTCTTCTTTATGAAAGAAGTCGTCAAACAGGCACGGAAAGGCCGATGACGTTCAGTGTTGACGTTGGGTATATAAAAGCCGCGAGAGGCGAACAAAGTTTGGTTGTGAAAGCAGGAGCTTCAAATTTTTCTTTCTCTCTTCCAACAAATTAAACCCTCTTTTCGCAGTTTGATATCTCTATTTAACAATTTTCCAGCCTTGATGGCTCCCTCAGACTCTGACTCTTTGGGACGCCATTCTCTTATTCCGAGCTTCCTCTATTCCTCTTCCTCGCCGGTTCATTCTCCGAGTGAGAAGCGCAGCATAGAGATGTTTTCGCCGTCGTACTACGCTGCTTGTGCCGTTGGAGGAGTGCTCAGCTGTGGCCTCACGCACACCGCCATGACGCCTCTTGACGTTGTCAAATGCAACATACAGGTCTCCTCTACCTCTCTCTATATCCACTCTTTTGCTTGCCACGCCATTGTGTTTTCGCATATTCAATTTTCGTACAACAATTTTGTAACGAGGCCCTGGAGAGAATTGACGCCATGGAAGTCAGAATGCGTTTAGTTCCCTCCACTTTTTTTATATAAAACAGTTTTCTTGTATGTAAAAAACGGCTTCTCGAATGTTCCGCTTGGTGTTTTCAAGTGATTATATGTATAACACTGATTTTAGCTTTGACCAATCAACTCGTGTGTGTGGAAGTCCAATCTCTTCATACTAAATCGTGTTTTCAAGCATGACACCATCCATTTTCGTAATGTTTTTCAATTCGACCCCATCCCATAAAATTGATTTGTTTTTTCTCAGTTAGGTAAGAAAGCCTAAAAAATCAGAACTTAACTAGGTAAAATTTATGCTATATTTTTTTTTTTTTTTACTTTTGACTATTCCCTCCGTCAATTTGGACTAATCTTTTTAAAGTAAATGATTGTGGTCCCTTTATTAATTCTATTAAATTGTTTAATTTTTTGTGACATTAGTATGTCACATGACATCAATCTGTGAATGTTATATGATATTTTAAAAAAATAAAATAATAGAGTTCATAAAAATGTTGTCATTTAAATGTGAGTTATATTTTATTAGTTAGAATTGAAAAAATTGAATATTATTAGTAATTATTTTTCGAATCTTCGTAAATATTCAAAAAGAATGAATCATATTGATTCATTTTAAAATAATATATAATAATAATAATAAATCCAAGTTGTACGTTATTATAAAATGTTGGTCAAATAAAAGTGTACTTAGAATATTTACAAAAATTTATTAATAAAATAAATATTTAATTATAAATTCTATATATGAGTTATTTAAAATTAGAAAACAATTGATTAAAATTTAAAGATTTTTTTATATAAATAATGTTGATTAAATTTTAAGTAATTCTTGTTTAATTTATAATAAAATATTTCTTTTTATAATAAGTCAGTGGTCCTTTCCTATTATTATTATTTTAAGAAATTTAACCAATAAAGTATGTAAACATCTTTTCCTATGCAGATGTTTTTCTATTATTTCTGTGCTTGATTTTTAGTTTAATAAGAATTTTATTGTTTTATGTCTTCAAACAACTTAAACGTGATTAGAGGGGATATAATTCCAAATAATTATGTACTTAAACCGAATTCATTGGATATAATCATAAATTACATATTAGATAGGTCAGTTACTCATTAAATGATCGGATATTAAATTTGGAGATCAATACTCTACTCAATATTAGAGGCTACAAAAGTTAAAAAATAAACAAATAAATTAAAAAAAAATGCTATACTTATTGCTCTGTTTGACTTTTAATCACAAAAATGTCATTGCTGTGCTTGTAGTATAACGTGATGTCTTCTATGACTATAACTAAAAATAAAAACAAAAACAAAAAAGTGTAATTTGGGGAAAATATTTTTTATTTTCATTTAAAAAAATGTCATTTTATTTTCATTTTATTTCGCATTTCTAAAAATTTGCGTAGAAAACAATGAATTAAACTAATAACTGTTTTTTATTGATTCATTTACACACTTTTGATTTGACACCAAGTTTGTAATCAAAATTGAAAAAATAAAATAAAATGATGAAACAAATTTAGCGAGTTTTGACGTATCCACATTTGTATTCCCACTGCAACTCTAGTTATACATTAATTTCAGCAACTGCAACCACGATTATAGCAACAGTTTAAAACCAGGTTACCATTTTCAGATTGATCCTGTCAAGTACAAGAACACCAGCACAGGATTTGGAGTCATGTTTAAGGAGCAAGGACTGAGGGGCTTTTTCCGCGGTTGGGCGCCTACCCTTCTTGGTTACAGCGCACAGGGTGCCTTCAAATATGGATTATATGAGTTCTTCAAGAAGTACTATTCTGACATAGCTGGTCCAGAGTATGCAGCCAAGTACAAGACATTGATTTACCTAGTCGGTTCAGCATCTTCTGAGGTGATTGCAGATGTTGCTCTTTGCCCATTTGAGGCTGTGAAGGTCAGAGTTCAAACTCAGCCTGGCTTTGCTAGAGGCTTACGTGATGGACTTCCAAAGATAGTCAGAACTGAAGGAGTCTCAGTGTATGCTTATGATTTTTCAAATGTTAACTTAAATATTCGCATTGTTTTGGTATGAAGGTTGTGTGAAGCTGTGGTTGAGGATTCCTTGCAATAACTTTTCTGTGCATTCAGAATCAGCAATTCAAAACAAGATGAAACAGCCGAATTTATCTCACTAAACTGGACACGCATTTGAGATTTAAGTAATCTGATCAACATCCTATGGTTACAATGAGCTGACTGCAGGAATGTTTGGAAAAGTCAACTACACTGAATCTGTTACTACGACATATACATTTTACTCATGATAGATACAGTTAATAGGATAAGCATTGAACAAAATGTCATATGATTTCAGGTTGTCGAAGGGAATTGTGCCTCTATGGGGAAGACAGGTTCCATGTAAGTTCCTCATCTTATACTCTGTAGTTTGGACATAATGTTCCGTTTTTTTGCTGAATTGGCTTCTCATGTGTTGCTTGGTATCGTTCATGAATTCATTTTCTGTTTTTACAGATAATTCCAAAAATTAAAATGTCTCTTTGTTTTTGTTTGTTTCCTATTGTTTGTTATATGTGCAATTTGAGTCCCAATTTGACAACTAAATGTTATGCTAATATGCTAATTTTTCTAGGGATACTGGTTGGTATTTTTTTTGTCATTGTCCTCTATGGGTAGTAAAAAAATGGGGCAACAAGTGAAATTTAGGTAGTTCAGTTAAGGACTAATCTGAAAGCTTGTCAAGAGTATTTGTGTTGTTGCTTTTCCTTTCTCAGGATTTCTGCCAACTTGTCATTATAGAAAATCGTATCAGTGATTTCTTTTGGGTGTTTTCTTTTGTATAAAATTTGCTTTGGAAAATTGTTAATCAGTTGTCATTTATTGATGATTTTTTATGCACATGATTACCTAAACCATTACTTATAAAGTAAATAATGTTCATTCTTGCAGATACAATGATGAAGTTTGCTTCTTACGAGAACATAGTTGAGATGATCTATAAGCATGCCATGCCCAAACCAAAACATGAATGCAGCAATTCCCAGCAATTAGGTGTGAGCATTGTCGGTGGATACATGGCTGGTATATTGTGTGCCATTGTCTCTCATCCCGCTGATAACCTTGTCTCTTTCCTTAACAATTCCAAAGGGGCAACCGTTGATGAAGTAAGAGCCAGATTTGATGTCCTTTTTAGTCTTTCTTTGGTATTTTGTCTGCATGTCGTAGGTTTAATGGAAAGAGCACATGATCTTGGAGAACTGATTTTTTTTTTCCCAAATGCAGGCTGTAAAGAAGCTTGGATTATGGGGTATGTTTACACGTGGTCTACCTCTTCGTATTCTTATGATTGGAACTCTAACAGGAGCACAATGGGGAATATATGATTCATTCAAAGTTTTTGTGGGGCTGTAAGTTTGAACTATTTCCTACCTGGTTACGATAAAAATAGGTTTAGTTTGGTTTATATATATCATGTTACTAACTTGTATATGGTAATGAAATTCTATTTTTCTTATCAGGCCAACCACTGGTGGTGTTGCTCCTGCTCTTCCTACTCCTGCTGCTTAGCTTGCAAAGGTGTCAAATGGAAAACACTTGCATAGTTTTGTTTCAGAAACTTAGAAAAATATATAAATAATCAGAAAACACCTGAAGTTGCTAAATATACAGGGAATTTTTATGAAATGAAGGAGAATGGCAGCAAGACATTATTGGTTAAGGAATAAAAAAGTAGAAAGTTTTTATGGAAAAGTTTCTTCATAATATATATCACAAGCAGAACCTAGATATTGAAAGTTTTTATAGAAAAGTTCTTTTGAACAGCTTTGTATTGAAAATATGCCTCCGGCAGTACATACCATTACCTTCCTTCCTTTTCCCTAACAAAACCCTATTTGATGTTTACTAAGATTAGAAAGATATTGTGGTTTGTAAATGAGCAGGGTAAAAGATATGCATAAAAATAATCATTATGTTGTTCTACTCACTAGGTGTGACTCATCGGGTATTAAGGGAAAAAAAAAGAGTAGATTAAAGTTAAGGGAAATTTTGAAATTTAAATTTAAAATCAGTTATTTTTCTTAATAACTTGCAAATCTTTGATTTAATTTTATTTTGCAAATTTTTGATTTAATTTTATTTTATAAACTACTTTTTTATCTTAATTTTTAATTGATATGAGATTTTTAAAAATCCTTAAACATATTATATTCTTTGTAACTCAAACTTGGTTCCGTCATATTTTAATCTTTAATGGTTGCATATACAACATTATGAGAGACTTTTTCTTGTTCTACCCAAGCTTTCAGTGGTGTGAGACTTTTCTTATTCTAATATATCTAAAATTTTGAATTTATTTAAGAGTAAAAATTAAGATTAATTTATAAACATCATTTTTTTTATATTTTTGATTTATCTTTTTTAAGATAAAATATATAAGTAGTTTCTTAAAAAAAATATCAAAATGTATAAACTTTGTGTTTAAACATCTTTTCATTCTACTGAAATTGTGTTTTTATATGATTTTTTTTTCAGAAATTAGATGAAGTATTATGTTTCAACATTTTTTTTTTAAAACGAAAATGAAATCCTATTAGAAAATACAATTTTCAAGGTTATTAATTTTGCTAACCTAATGTAAAATGTATATGCAAATAAACGTCTATGGCTTATTGTATTAATGCGTGATTTTAGAATTTATTGAATTCGTGTTCTCATATCAATAAATGAATTCAGACTAAATTGTTATTTGATATACGATTTTGACTTAAAAATGTATCATATTATATATATATATATATATATATATATATATATATATATATATATATATATAATATTATCTTTATTGGATTATGAAGTAATATATACGTGGATTTTTAAATTCATATTTATTATATAACGAAAATATTTAACAACACATAATTAATCTTCTAGTTTATAATTTTATTACCGAAAATATTATTACATCAATATTAATAATATACAATTAATTTATTTAATTATTATATTTTAATTAACATTAAAAAAATATAATTTATTATTTAAAATACTCTTTATAAATAAGATTACTTTATTATTTATTTATTATATATATATATATATATATTTTTTTTTATACTGACTTAAATGATAATCACTTGAATTGACTTGTTTAAACTTATTTATTATTATAATTTTTTAATAAGAATACATAATTTTTAGAATAATACTTTTAAAAATTATATAAAATAAATAATTTAGAAACGTATTATCAATTAACTCATTCATTTTTTAAGTTTTAAAATGGACAATTTAAAAATATATTCTAAAATAAGTTATATGGCAAAATGTTTCATAATATTCTAATAGAAAAAATATATTTCATATTGAATCCAAAGGATTGATGAATGAGACGTTGACAAAGAAGGACAAAATACTTTAGTGAATAAAAAACATCAATGATCATTAATTAAAAAAATCAATGATAAAATACATACACATATCTCAATAATTATTTTCCAAATAAACATATATAATTAAACTTTAACCCATCATTTTGAGAAGATAAATGCTTGAATCTAAAAGACTTTGTGTGCATCTAACTATTTATTAACACATAGTAAAATATGAATTATATATACATATACTAAAACATCATTAAAGTAGCATGTTGTTTAGTCAAGGATGTTATTTTAGGTTGTTAGAGTGCAAGTTCACTCTGGACTTAAAACGGAAACATGTTGTTGGGTGAGTAATGAGGTATGAATTTTCTTATATTACCATATAACTCAATAGAAAATCTCGAGTGGGGTTAATTAAATTGAATTCTTATAAAATTTTAGCATTAAATTATAAGCATTTTAAGTTTATGGAAATTATTGTGATAAGTATATAGTTTAATATGTTTGGTTGATGTACTTGGTTTGTATGTGTTAGCAAAATATGAAAAATGTTTTTCTGGATGGGTAGGGGCCCACCTTAAAATACAAATGTGAGAATCATACTGCATAATTGATGATGATGAAATTTATAATTTAGGTAGTTATAAATTGGAGTTAAATGAATGCACATGATGTTAATCAAGATTGAAAAAAGGGAGTTGATAAGTGTTTACATTTTTCTCATAAAAATGAAAAATTTATCAAAGAGACATATTATTGTTCATGCCTTTATTCTTTTTATATTGCTTTGATTATAATTAGGTGACAAAAATTATTATGATTATAATAAGCCAATATAAAAAATATGTTAACTAGGAAATAAAGGAAGTCATTTTCTAACCAGAAGATTTTATTTATATTTTCCTCTAAATCTCCTCTTCCTTGCTATTTAATAGAGTCTCTCCCTCTCTTGTTTAAGTTAGCTTATTTTTTTATATAATATAGTGAATTTCTTTTAGTCTTGTGTTTAGAGTGACATTCTCTTTTATCTTCTTATCAAGTAGTCACAATTACCATTTATCTTGGGTTATTTCATCTCCAAAATAACATGATTCATGACACTCCTCATTTTCCCTTCTTTATCTTTTCATTTTACTAATTTTTGTGTTCTTTAATTTCTTACCTATTACATATTTATTTTAATTTCATGTGTCACTTATCTTATTTTTTGAATCAAATTCTTGTTTTACTTCATTCTTTCGTGTCTTTAAATCCATAATAAATGAATTTTCACACTTAAATAACCTTTTGAGATTTTCTAGGTGTCCATTTCACCTATTTATTATATCACAAACATCTTAATCATTAAGATCAACTTCTTAAAAAATTGAAATAAAGAAATTACCCATTTAAAATATGAGTGGTGATATTTTGACAACTGGAAATCATACAACCCTTCAAACAATTCATTTTTATTAATATAATAATCTATAAAATGATTTAATAAAAATAAATTAAAATTATTATTATAATATTAAAAGAGAGTTGTTTATAGAAGTTGTACGAATTTGGGTCGTCAAAGTATCATTTTCCTTTAAATATTAATAAATAAATAAAATATTTAATAAAATTATTTATATAATTTTTAATTAAATTTCTTATTAATGAAATAGTTTTTAAATTAACATTTTTTAACCGTATATATTTTGATTTATAATTATAAAATAATTGTAATCATAAAATTATAATTTTTTTCTAAAAATATTTTATGTTTAAATTAATAAAAAAATATCACATTAAAAAATATGAAATATATTAAAATATTCATCTTATATTTATAACCCCTCTTAATTTTTATCACACCGAGCATAATAACATAATAAAAAATTTATACATACACATAAATTAAAATAATAAATATAAGAATGTATTAAATAGGTGATGATTTTTTAAAATAACAAAACAATCGTCTTGAACTTTCCATTATTTTTCTCCTTTCTTGACTTTCCCAACAAACAAACTAAAACATTCTTACTCTCAATTTCAAGTTTCAAATAACAGTTTGGGAAAATAAATATTATCTACTAACGGTAATGTAAAGTTAAATAATATTAATTTACCCTGTTAATTAACACAAGTATTAATTAATTTTAATTAAATTGGCCTGAAAGGGTATTATTTTTCAATAATATCCATATTTATCAAAATTTAAACTCACGATATTATTTAATTAATTTTACTATCTACCTGACCAACTAGTAAAATAAATAAGATATTTGTTTCAAACATTATTATTTTAAGGATTGGGAGCAACCCTCTACAATATATTAAAATTTATTGAAGCTTGCAAAATCATAAAATTATTTAATAAGTATAACCCAAATTAAAATTGTAATCTTTAATAAATTTTAATAAACGGTTGAGTATATTTAAGTGTCTTTGAAGTTATCATTTTACACGATGTTTTATATATCAAATTATAAAAATAGGAAAATGAGTCAAATGACGAGACAAGTTAATAAATTTAGTCTATCATATTATTTTTTATCCGGTCTGTTTAATTTAGGAAGTCAAAGAAGAGATAAGACAAACTGATCCATTGACCCGTTTTTAAAAAATATTATAATAAAAAATATTATCCTTTTTATGTTATAGTATTAAAATAAATAAATAAAATATTATAATTTAAATTATAAAAATTAATCAATTAATTTAAATTATTGATTATAATTAATTATTTTAATAAATAAATATAATAATTGTTTTAATTTATCTAATAAAAATATTAATTAATAAATAAAAATTTAAAAACTATTAATTATATAAAAAAATTATTGATTTGCTGACCCATTCGTCCATCAATTTGTCTTTGCTGAAATCAATAGCCCATCTTAACTGTAACATATTAAGTTTTTTTTTTTTTACTAAAAACGAGATAAGTTTTGTGATCTAATAAATTGGTTTTATTAATTATTTATTTTGGATATATGCATGACCTTAATGGTAAAAAAAAAAATGGAAAGAATGAGAATTCTTTCGTTTGTTTAGTAAAGAGATGGGAAATAATAAAAGAAAATGAATAAAAAATAAAAGATACTAAAATAACAATTTTACTCGTATATGTTTGGAATAAGACTCATAGGCCCACACCACTAACATTTCATTTCTACACACATCCCCTCCAACTATAATAATTTATTAAATTTTCTCTCACCTCGTTTATTCTTTCTTTTTTATACATTCTCTGTAATTAATTTTTCTCAAATAACTTAATATTGATTATTATTTTTGAATAATAATATAATTTAGTTTATATCTAAATAAAATATATGTTTAAAATAAATAAATTCTTTTATATATTTTAAATTATGATAAAAAATTTAAAAATTGTAAATAATTTATTTAGTTAATTGGATAATATATAATTTTTATGATGAACATCGTATAATTTAATATCTTTAATAAATAATTAACTTTTTTTCATATTTAATACACTACTGTGGATATTCATATAATTAATCACTTTTCATATGAATTAATATATTACTGAGTCAAATTTCATATTATTTATAATTTATAAAATTTTATTTTAATTGAAAATAATTTAAACATAAATACATACTTTATTTAGATTTAAACTAAATTATATACTTATTCAAAATAAGTCTTTAAATATATTTTAAATTATTTTGAAGTATAAACTTTTTCAAAAATTTAAGTACCTTATTTTTTTGAATAACTTGTGAAGAAATATTTAAAGAGAAAAATAAAATTGAAGTGTAGGTGAGAAAATTGTAATAATGAAAGAGATAAAAAGTAAAAGAAAAAAAAACTAAGATTAGAAACCTAATGAGTATTATGTTACCTAATTAATAGTTTTTTCTCAACTAAATCAAATTACACTATTTTTAAAAAACTTCATTTATATTTTTCACCTGTTTTTACTCCATAAAAAAAAAAAGGAAAATTCCATATTAGTTATTACCTATTTTTCTTTTTCTAAACTTACTTCTTTCCTATTTTCATTTTCTCAATATCCTTCAAATCAAAAAGCATAAACTACAAATAAAATGGGAGAAAAGAAACATGATTTCCAATAATATAGTAAACAATAATTGCTTTGCAGCTGGTTTATTACCTTTGGAAGCAGCTGCAAAAGAATAAAAAGGTTCACTCTAGCAATACCAACTACCAAGACTAGATAAACTAATTCTATGCCATTCCTCCCAACCAGCATCTACTACTAATAAATTCTTCTTGTACATCATCTCAATGGCACATGGCTTGGGGGAATAAAAAATTGCTTGCTTGAGATATTAGCATATAAGATTGGGATACATATCTTTAGAACAAAGAATTGACACAGTCAAGTGTCCACTAAAGATAATTCAGCAAACCATTTCCAATTTCGTAATCCTCCTCTAAGACTCTAACTCTGAGAACTTGCTCTCAAAGAAGACTGAGTGGAGAGCTCTCACACACTGCTCTGCTTCACTGTCATTTACAACCAATGAGATGTTCACCTGCAAAAACACAAGGAACAGACACAATACATGAAAAATGAAAACAATGACATGCATGTAGAATCAATGCCGCTACTTAGTTATACTGAAGTTGAATATGACATACACTAAAGTTCAGAAAGCCAAATCATTTTGCAGTATGAGGAATCTTTATGCTATGAATAATATGAAACAAGCTTGATCATTCCCCCCTCCCTTCTTCAAGAAAATTGTGTTTATGTCCAATAAACATGCTTCTCATTATATTATCATATATTCGTAAATGCCTTAGGTTTGGAATCATTTAGCACATGCATAGCGCACACAATTATTCATTCCAGCAAATATAACGAATAATATAAAGTGGATTAGGGGATACCTTAGATGCACCCTGAGAGATCATCTGCACAGTGACTCCAAGAGTTCGAAGAACACTAAAAGCCTGCAATAGAATTAACCAATGATTTCCTTAGTTACCGGCAGAAGGAGCTAAACTTGGACAAATTACAGAACATAATATTGCATGTGGACAGGACTTAACTTGTGCCTAAAATCACATTTTAAAACCTCCCGTTTTTCTTTTACCAAAGTAAACAATGCCCAAAGGTTTCGACAGAAAATAAAACTACATTCCTCAAGCAGCAAAAGGGAGGAAGGAAAAGGCCCAGATAGGAACTACAGTCCTCAAACATGGAAATGAAGCAACTAAATCTCTATATAAAAAATGAAACTTAGGATAGGAACTACATGTAGATAGAGATTAAAACAGAACCTTCTCCAATATTAGTGATGACCTCTGAACATTTCCAATCAGAGAGATTATTGATCTACTCTGTAGGAGATTCACCACAGCAATTTTCTCTAGTTCCTCGACAACGTGGTCAAGTTCCTGCCCAAAGAGAATGACATTAAATAGCTCATTATGACTTAAAAATTCATTTTCCAAGCATTAGTCTAAAACTAGGTGATTTCCGACTAGATAGGTATCAGCTAACATGGTCATCACAGAGAGACACAAGAAAAAAAATTAAAACATCGCCAAAATATTATCACTCAACAAGACACTAATCACAAGAACACAAATGCTTACACTTGCCTGCTGAATTAGCTCTCTGCTCCATAGCTTTGATGGATCCAGTGTCAAGGAAACACTGACTTCACTTGTAGCTACAACATCAACTGATATGCCTAAATCTTCAAAGATTGAAAATACCTGTATACACATGGAATATGAAAACTGGAATAGATTCAACCACTGGGAGAACATATTTGACGGGTATTAGCTCTCACCTTGGCAAGGAAACCATACTGACCAAGCATGCGAGTACTCACTATATCCAACATGGTCACATTACGTTTCAAAACAATGCTTGTTAATACTGCCTGCAGGTAGAAAAAGGAAAACTTGAACAGCCAGAGTCTTACTGGAGATAACGAGATTTACTACTTATCCCAAAACTAAATTCTACACACCTTGCTCATATCTCTTGCCTTGGTAATGAGAGTACCTGGAGCTTTAGGGTTGTAAGAATTTTTAACCCTAACAGGAATATCACTTTCTCTTGCAGGCCTCATAGACTGTGGATGCAGAACCTGAGAATCAGAGCAATGAAAGATTAAGATTCACCTTTAAGGGGATTATTCTAATATCCTGATAGGAACCCACATCTGATAATTAGCATGGACCCACATGTAGACCAATGTAATCATGGGCCAAGGTCTTGGATGTTTTACACTAGAAAGAGGAGAATATGAGGGGAGAGAGGAAGTTAGGAATTTTCTGAGTATGGTGTGGCCATTGACAGGCTGAGTTTTGGGAATTAAGAGATATTGTACATATTCTGTTGTTCACTTTCCAGTATTTTCCTGTCACGTCCGTGTTGTAATCACTTTTCTCCATGATCTTTCAATTCTGATCTATAAAAGTAGTGCTTCCATACTCTGTTAATTTTAATCATATCCCAAAGCACAAGTCTATAGTTTTAGATACACACCATGCTCCTTACAATAACAGTAAGGTGATTAGCAATAACATGTTTTTGACTAGACCCGATAAAAAATTAGGTAACAACACAAACATTATTATGCATGCTTATAAACAGAACAAATCAGAGATTATTTGGAGACAGCCTAGTAAGTGGACAAAAGAATGTCATCTTTTTAACCATTCTACACAAATTAAGAAGTAAAGAATGTAGAAGCGTCCAATATTCAACCATTTTCTGGGAGTGGGGCATCTAATTCAATGCAGTTAAAACACTAAATCAGCCTGCAGTAAAACACATAGAATGACGTATAATGATAATGTTAATATCACTCATGCAAAGCCTTGGAAACTCATCTCTAGTACATAGCCCTCCTTTTTGCCCAATTCAAATGCAAAGTTGATACACGAATCTTCAATTACTCTTCAGTAGTACAATTGGAAAGACGAAGACTCAAAAGCACATAACTCATCATTTCCAATTTTAACTAGTTATGTGGGACATTGCCTCCTTGTTTCTAGTTTCTCGATGTTAGCATTTGTCTCTTTAACTTGTTAGCATTATGTTCATGCATGACTCAATAAAATAATGAAACTAATCCTAAGAACTATTTTCTAAGACAGTCATATCATATTGATATTGTGATATATTCAATCAGGACCCTACAATTTGTTTCAAACCATAGGGAATGCATATGGCATATTATCAAAAGCGGATAAATTCTGTAAGGATACCTGAGCACCAAAGTAAGCTAGTTCAGCAGCCTCGTCAAATGTCAAAAAAGGAACAGGTTCCGCTTTTGGGTATATATTTGGATCACAAGTTAGGACACCATCAACATCCTTCCAAACCTGTTTAACTGATTGAATTATTGTTTTCTTTTTGTATCCATTTTGACATGCATAAATGTGTTTTATGTGCAATTGCAAACCTGGATCTCAGGCAACCCTAGTGCTTTTCCAATTGCTGTAGCTGTCAAATCACTGCCCCCTCTTCCCAGTGTTGTCACTGCACATGATTTCCGGGCCTTCAAGAAGAAAAACAAGGTAAAAGCTTTTCTAATTAGAGAATTCTCATTTAGTAACACAATCCTGGTGAAGAAAAGAAATGAACAGAAGCATTGAAAAAACATGACATCACAAATACCTTTCCAAGGAAGCCTGTAACAATTGCAATTGCAGGATCAGAGAGCCAATCACCATGCAATCTTTTTGCAACTGCTGGATAAGTTGCTTCCAAAATGTCCGCATTTGTGAAATCATCAGTTGTTATAAAACCTATCTCAAATGCATCGTACTGCCAAACAATTAAATTAGCAACAAATCAAAATCTGAGATCAGAGTTGAGCGATCATATGAGCAATAAAAATACTAATGAACTTTTAATTACATTATTTATAAAATAGGCAAATAACAACACATACCTGGCGGGCCTTGACACCTATTTTATTCAGATATGCAGCAAAGATCCTAGTTGACATGCATTCTCCAAAGGAAACTAAATAATCCTGAGTCCTTTTAGTCAACTCTTTCATCATAGCTATTCCCTTTAGAAGTTGCTCCAACTCTTCTAGATGCTCTGGCAATATTTCCACATGCAACATGAAATCAGCCACAAAATGAGTACAAAACATTTGAAAATTACCTAACAACCATACTGAGAAGAAAGAAGGCATATAATAGAATCATTTAGTCTATAAGGTGATATATGAATTTATAACATAAAACCATGGTTAATGTAACAATTATAATCAAAATCTACGACAAAGTCAGCATTTTCTTGATTTTAGCAATTGGTTGTGACATTTTTTTCTGAATTTTTTATAAGCCATCTTTCATTCTGGAAAGGGTAGGATAAAACAATCTCAAAGTATGAAAAGCTTTTTTCTTTACCTGTGACATTCATCTCAATTATACAGGGTCAATTTCATCACAGAAATTGGTGCATATACAATGTAGCTGCTGCTTCAGGTTATATATAAACGATGCAGCATATGATAATTATTTTCTATCTTGTTTAGTTTCCTTTTCCAAGTTACTTTAACTAGTTACCTTTTTCTAATGCATTCAATTTAAAGACTTTGATTTGTAATTGTGTAGCAGTAATCAGAGTAAATTTCAGCCATTTATCATTAAATTCTTCTTGATCTGAGTGTCAAAGTGTTTCACTCTTCCACTGCACCAAAGATTAGTTAATTCTTACACCTGAAGTATAAACATCCAGACAAGCATTGCATATTTAATGTCAAGACAGTCAAAGACATAAAAGACAAGAAATTTAACTCACAAAGTTCTTCGGGATATGTTCGTACAAAATAGAGTTGAAAGAACATATGACAAAATTATTAAAGTACAGAGTCAAACAGTCACAAAATGCAGAAAGGTACCATGCAATATAGCAAATTAACCAAATGCATGATCCACAACCATATATTCAAGACCCTTTTCTATTGCTACACACAAGTAAATGCCCAGAACTTGGTAGGTATATGAAATGACAAGACCTTTTTTCTATCCAAAAACAAATAAAAAATATATTTAAATGGTCCAACTTAACCATCAAATGATATACTGTGAACAAAGCAACTTACTTGCAATAACAGATCTATCTACTCCAAGCTGATCCACAGTCCTGAGACAGGTAGGAACATCCAGTGAGAAAATATTTTTCTTCAGTGGAAAAAGGTGATTTTTCTTTCTCTAGATAATTTGCCACACTAGAAAAAGAAAAAAATAGAATACTCATTGCTCTTGCCTATGATGCAGGTCTCTTATAAAACTGAGCTCCTCAATACTTGACACGTTAGTAACACCACAACTCACAGCTTTCTCTCCAGCCTAAAAAATTACAGAAAGCAACCCTTTTACTTTAGATCATCACAAAAGAAAGAGATGAAAAACCAACATACAAAAACAAAAAAAGTGGGTCAAAAAAATACCAGCAAAAGCTTGTTTGTTGTCTTTCCCATAGCAGAGAGAACAACTATAGGTCTCTCTTCTGGGAAACTCAATATAAGCGCAGCCACCTCTTTCATCCTCTCAGCAGAAGCCACTGAGGAGCCACCAAACTTCATGACACAAGTGAAACTAGTTTCACCCTCACAACTCACCTTCTCATACTCAGTTACATTCTTCTCAATCACATCACTTGCTGAGGCCTTACACGTGACACTGAATGCCACCCTATTGCCCCAAACTCTTCTCGCACAAACAGGAGCACCAAATGATGCAAACCCTATTTGGGGCTTGCAATGAAGCATGCTCCTCCTCACAGAAAGGGTCCCTTGAAGCCCTTGAAACTGCAACGCGCTTGCCATGCTCCAAACAAGTTATTTCGACAAATGAAAACAAACCTTCAGGGATCTGAGAAAGCCCGTGATCCAAATGCCTTCTCAAGTTCTCCAAAGCTCGATCTGCACAAAAAAGAAAACACCCTTTACTCCATTTCGTCACAGCATCACATGAAACGGTAAATTACACAAAATTATGGTTAAAAAATCAATTTTTATTGGTGTTATTTCGTCTTATGGAACGACAAAACCTCATAAGAACGGGGGAAAATTGTAAATGAAAAGAGAAGAGAAAACCTTGAGAGAAAGAGCTTTGGAAAGCGGAAATGCAAGAAGTGAAAGAGTTTTGCGACTGAGAATGAGAAAGGAAAATGAAACGAAGGAAGTTGTGGGGCAATGGTGGCTGCACTCTTTTCTTTGTGTCTTCTCACTCACCCCACGCATGAAAGGTCCAAAATGTGTTTTATATACGTGTTTCATGTATGCGACAAAAAAATCTATGTGCAACTTTTTAACTGAAGGATTTAATGTCTTCTCAGTTGTTAATTAAGGCCTTTCAAAATTATTTTTAATTATGTTTTAAAAAATACAAAATTATAATTTGTTTTTTGCTTTTAAAAACTTAGATTTTAATATAAGGTGACTTTTTTAGTTTAAAAATAAGTTTTTATTTTTATTTTTAGTGTTAAGATTGTTCTAACAAAAACTCTTCATATTTTTTAAGACTTTACATAGTATTTAGTAAGGTTTCTTCACAAAACTCCTTTTTGTAAGTTAACTCAAGTTTTGAATTCTCCACTTAGCATTAGAAAATTATTAATTCACAGCCCATTTTAAAGAAACATTCTTTAGATAACTTCTGGATAAAAGAGAAAGAAAAATAAAATTATTATTATTATTATTATTATTATTAAAAATGCGAATTTTGTAAGTGGAAAAAAATATGGTTTGACGGTGAGACTCTGTTAAAGATAGTCAACCATGTTCCTAGGTAAAGATTGGTTATGGAAACTTAATTGAAAACATGAGGCGAGAATAATAACATGAAAAAACGAGAATGCAACAATTCAATATCAAATAAAAACAATCCTTCAACAACCGACTTTTTTAGTAAAATAATATTATTATATTATATATACACTTAACAAAACTGTTAATGAAATTAGTTAAATTATTTACTTAACTGAATATATGGTATTATTCTACTTAGAATTTAGAATTTAGAATTTAGTTTCTCATAGATCGAATTCCAATTTTAATCTTACCACTTTTTTAAATAAAAATTAAATAAAATATATAATTAAAAATAATAAAATTAATATTAAAAATAAAATTTTAATTTTAAAATTTAAATAATATTTATATAAAAAATAATATATTATTTAAATATATATTAAATTATTTAAATATATTTAAATAATTATTAAAAATATTAAATAATAATTTTTTATTATTTTTTTTTTGAATAGGAAATTTAAAATTTATATATTTTTTTATTATATGAATTATTTAAGTTATAATTTTAGAAAAAAATTGATAAATTTAATATATAAAATATTAAAAGTAAAATTAAAAATAAGTTATTAGTAGCAAAATAAAAATTATAGAACATGATATTAAAGAAAAATAATAAAGGTATAAAGATTTTTATAGAGTGAAAATAATAGAGGTTTATGAAGAAGAAAATCCTCCACAAATTTCTCCTGAAATTCAAGAACAACCACACCGACAAAATCCAAAACGTAATAGACGTCGTCCTCGTTGTGAAGCTGGACACCACTTTTAAGATTAAAATTTTCTTAACATTATTGTCAATAATTTTATTTTTCAATTTTTATTATCAATGATTATGTTATTTTTAATATTATACATTAAATTATGTGAATTTTTATTATTTTTTATTTTAAGTTTATTTTATACTAATAATAATAATTTTTAACTAATTAAATAATATTTTTACTTTATTATTTTAAAAAAATAATTTTAGCATGAATTTTTTAATATAATATTTATAATTTATCAAATAAAAACTATTACATAAATTTTTATAATATAATATTTAATTTTTTAATATATTACCTAAATTAAATTTTTATTTATTCTATTTTTTTAAATTATAACTTAAATAATTCATATAATAAAAAATATACAAATTTTAAATTTCCTATTCAAAAATTAAAAAAATATATAAAAAAATATAATAAAAATTATTATTTAATATTTTAATAATTATTTAAATATATTTAAATAATATTATTTTTATTATTTTTTATATAAATATTATTTAAATTTTAAAATTAAAATTTTATTTTTAATATTAATTTTAATTATATATTTTATTTAATTTTTTTATTTAAAAAAGTGGTAAGTTTATATTAAAATTAATATAAAAAATTATAATTAAAAATATTATATTTTATTATGTTAGTGAAATATATAAATAAGTTATAATTTAAAGTTTTAAAATTAATCAATTAAGTTTAAATTATTGATTATAATTAGATATTTGAATACATAAATATAATAATTTTTAAAATTTATCTAATAAAAATATTAATTAATAAATAAAAAGTTAAAAACTATTTATATAATTAAATATATATTTAAAAAAATACATATAAAAAAATTATTAATAAATTGATTTGTTGGTTTATCAATAAATAATCTCTCTCGTCCCTTTTTTAAGAGTAAGAGGTAAAGCATATTAAAACAAGAGAAACTCACTTATTTTATATATTGATTGAATTTAAAAGGTTACCCACAACATTATTATTTATATTTTCTTATATAATTTTAAAAATATTTTTTATTTCTCACGTATATTTCTTTGCCAAATAGCTTAATATTTATTTTTATTCATCTATATAACCAAATAGGACGAAAGAAATTAATTGACATATAATTGTTGAAAGTTCTACCTTTTGTGACATCAATTAGAGTAGTAGTAGCGTTTCTATTTAGGATTTTGTCCTTGGGGACATAGGTATCTCTAAAACCAAGACATTAGATTTCCTTATACAAGAGTTTTTTTTTTTATTATAATATTATTTTAATAAAGGACTTATAAATATAAATTTCTTAAAATTGAAAAATATTTGTAGAGTTTATATTAAAATAATATTTTTATGAATAAAGAACTCTTATTAAAGATATTATATGGGAAATTTACACCTTTTATAAGCATATTGAAGATCCTAAACAGGGAGTTTTTCTCTCTGAACGTATTCAATAACAAGAAAAAAGTTGAAATATATAATAAAGAAAATATAAGAAGATGAATTATATATAAAAAAAGAGAGTAAAATTAATTAAAGTAATGATAACCACATAATTACAAACCTACTCAAACCTACATAAAAGTTTACTTTTGATCCCTCACATGTTTTTTAAGGAAAAGCATTAAACTTCTACATTTCTTGTCTACTCAAATATGAGAACAATAAAACACGAGATTACCTTTCAAAATTTCTTCTTAATTGATTAAATGCAAAATTTCACACAAAAGAATGTACGATGAGAATTATAAAATTTAATTCATCTATCTACTGTCAAATCAAACAAATAAATCACATAATTTAAAAAAAAAATTATGTCTCACTCATCAAACAACTTAGCATTAAAATTATTTATTTATTTAATTTTATTTCTATTTATTTTCCCAAAACGAGATGCTAATGACTCCCTAGGGTTAAATATATTTTTGTTTTTGTAATATTCTGTACACCATTCATCTACGTTAGTGAAGGAAAAAAATAAAAAATAAAAATAAATAACGAGTACTCAGTCACATTGGACTGAAATAGTTAACATCATCGAGTATTTAGTATTGAATTCTAGAAGATGTAAGAAAAAGAGGAGATTTATATACGAAAAGACTCTACTGTCTAAATCAATGTCAATACCACAAGAAAAAAGTAATAGAGTATCATACGAGCAAAGAATAATAATATGGAATTATACGAGTAGTGAATAAAAATATAATTATACGTGTATAGGAATCTTATCAAGTTATTTTAAATATTAAATAATATTATTTTTAGTATCTAATTATATTCATTATCTAGGTTAATCATATATTTTTTTTATTATCGACTAATTAAATTTATTTTTAATTAAGTATTGATATTGAATATTTATTCAATTAATAATATTAAATTTAATGAGTCATTTTTATTTTATGTCATAATATAATATATAAATTGGGGTAGGTATCAAAATCTTTCAAACTCACTCCATTTTTATTAAATATGAATAAGTTTTAATGTTCAATATAGAATTTTAGTTTAATTTATAACTTTATGTGAGACGTGTTGAATCTAGAGTTTTGGTTGAGATGTATTCGATCCAAAGTTTTAATTGAGGTGTCCTTAATCTAGATCTTTAATTGAAATGTGTTTAATCTAGAGTTTTGATCATATGTGTTCCACCTAGCATTTTGGCTAAGATATGCATGATCTAAAACTTTGGCTTAATACCTTTTTTATTTCATGGATATATTCGAGATGCTTTAAATGTGTTGACACATTAATTAAGGGGTTTTGAGATTCGAAACATTGCATTAGGATTTCTTCTAAAAGTTATGTCGGATAATCACTTAAATGAGTTTAGATAGGACTAACTCATGTTTACAGGTTACATCATCTTATAAAATAATAATTATTTTTTAAATAAAGATAAAAATAATATTATATATAAACTAATTTGATAAAAGATCATGTTGGAAACTCTCTTTTTTAAGCATATCAAATTTTCTTAAAAATTTTCAAGTATAAAAAAGAAACTCGATTTTTTCCTCTTCTAAGAAAGGTTTCTTGGTGAAAAATTATGAGAAAATAACTCCCTTATATGATTTTAGAGAACAAGAAGACAAACACTTATGTAAATAAATTCTAATTCAATCAAGGTAAAATTTATAAGAGGCAAGGGATTTTATTTATAAATGTCTAGCCCCTTTGCACTTATTAACATAATCGATGTGAGACTAATTTCACCAAAAAGTATATGCTCCTAAACTTAAAGTAGTGCCT